TTGTTATAGATGGTAATAGGCTAAAGCGTATGTTGGTGAACAATGGAAATTTGGCCAACATTCTATTTGGTGTCACCTAAGATAAGATGCTAATGGATCATGATCTGACCTCCATAACATCTCTAGTATATGGCTTTATTGGCAATAGTATCATCTCAAGAGGGAAGATCACTATTGTAGTAGACATGGTGTCACCTGCTCAAATAGCTGGCCACTTCACGAAGTTCCTCGTGATAGATAATCGGTCAACCTACCATGGAGTCTTAGGTAGACCTATCTTGAAGGATCTATGGACCGTCACTTTCGTAGTTCACCTATGCATGAAATTCCCAACAGAACGCAACATTACAATTGTTAGAGGTGATCAGATGAAAAATAAGGAGTGCTACATCAACTCTCTATGGAAGGCCGAACACTTTAATGTTAATATGGTGTTAATTGACATCGAAATAATCAATGCACTAGCTGAAGATCAATCCCCTAAATAAGGGAAAGACGCCGAGATTTTAGGTGCACTTGAAGAATGAAGGACCTCTGAAGAGTTATAAGTGTTGAATCCTCGCATCATGGAGTCTAACTCACAAACGCTGCAATAGAAAAACTAGAGAACTTCTCTGTAGATCATCAGGATTCCACTAAAGCACTACAAGTGAGAAGAGATCTATCTTCAAAAGTCAAGTAGAAGCTTAAAATCTTCTTATGCATGAATTTTGATGTCTTTACTTGAAGGCGTGAGAATATGGTAGGCATTGACCACATGATTAGCTGTCACCATCTCAAGATTGATACTAAGGTCTTTCAACCCTGAGAAGTATGAAGCTCTGAACAAAGAGATTGAATGGCTAATCACCAATGGCTTTATTAGAGAGGTCACATATCCGAAGTGGATTTCCAGTTCGTTCTTCATAAAGAAGCACAATGGCAAGTGGAGAATTTATATAAACTTTTCCAACCTCAAACAAGCTTGCTATACAGCTTTTCCCTCCCTAGGATAGATCAACCAGTGGAATCCACTACGGTGCACTAATTATTGAACTTAATGGATGCATATTCAGATTACAACCAAATTCTCATGCATCCTACGATGAGAAGAATACTTCTTTCATCACTAATAGAGGTCTCTATTGCTATGAGGCAATGCCATCCAAGTAAAAAAAAAAAAATAATAATAATAATAATAATAATAATAATAATAAATAAATAAATAAATATATATATATATATATATGTAGATGGCATGCTAGTGAAGAGCCTCAAGGCGAATCATCGAGTCAAGCACCAAAATACCATTTTTCGAAATCCTAAAGAGGTACAAAATGATGTTAAACCGCTTAAGTATGCATTTTATTGATGGCACTTCTAGAAAAATCAATTTCGGAGTTGGAGTGGTCTCGATTAGCCCTAAAGGCCACAAACTCAAATGTGCTGTGTGGAATTCAAAGCCCTAAATAATATTGTTGAATATGAGGCCCTTTAGCTAGCCTTAAATTGGCTAAAGAGATGCAAATGAAAAGACTTCTCATCAATAGTGCATCCTAGATAGTAGTAAATGAAATTCGCGGCAACTTTACTACAAGAGATAAAGGCATTACGGCATACCTCAAACAAACTATAGATCTTTTTCCATATTTTAAGAAGTTTCAGCTAGCCAAATAGGCGAATCATCGAGTCAAGCACCAAAATACCATTTTTCGAAATCCTAAAGAGGTACAAAATGATGTTAAACCGCTTAAGTATGCATTTTATTGATGGCACTTCTAGAAAAATCAATTTCGGAGTTGGAGTGGTCTCGATTAGCCCTAAAGGCCACAAACTCAAATGTGCTGTGTGGAATTCAAAGCCCTAAATAATATTGTTGAATATGAGGCCCTTTAGCTAGCCTTAAATTGGCTAAAGAGATGCAAATGAAAAGACTTCTCATCAATAGTGCATCCTAGATAGTAGTAAATGAAATTCGCGGCAACTTTACTACAAGAGATAAAGGCATTACGGCATACCTCAAACAAACTATAGATCTTTTTCCATATTTTAAGAAGTTTCAGCTAGCCAAATCTCGCGCCTTGAAAATGCCCATGCTGATGCCCTATCAAAATTGGCAAATAGTAAAGATTTTGAGATGCCCAGGACATTGAACACCTAGCTAGACCCTCTATATCAAAGGAGAAATAAATAACTTACATCCTTCGGGAAATTTATAAAGGGGTATGGCAGCCACTCAAAAGGATCGACACTTGCACAAAAGGTTCTTAAGCAATGGTATTACTGGCCTACCTTGAAAAGGGACATACTTACAATTTGCTCAAATGCGACAAGTGCCAACATTTCTCAAACGTATAGAGGCAACCATCTCGAGAACCACTGTTGTATCTAACCCTTGGCCATTTACCAAGTAGGAGATTGATCTCATAGGTCCTATGTCAAGAGGAAGAGGCAATGCAAGTTATGTCATCATCGTCATTGTTTACTTCACAAAGTGGGTAGAAGTTGAGTCATTAGCCAAAATCACAGAAGCTAACACTTTAAAATTTCTCTGGAAGAAAATCATATGCCAGTTCAGCATTCCTCACTCAATCGTATAAGATAATGAGAGACAATTTAACAACGAAAAGGTCAGTGATCTATAGCTATAAATCAAAAAACACTTCTCAACATCTTACCACCCTCAAGCAAACAATCGGTTGAAACCGTAAAAAAACCATCAAATATACCCTAGAGAGGAAACTTGATGCCTTGAAAGGAGTATCGATTGACGGACTCCTACAATTGTTGTAGGCTATTTGCACCACAAGCCAAACTACTACTAGACGAACTCCTTTTTCCATAGCTTATGAAGTCGAAGCTATGAGTCAAGTGGAAGTAGGATTGCCCTTACCTCATTGCCTATACTTCAATGAAATATCTTGACTTCCTTGAAGAAATGAGGAATGAATCAAATATCAAACTCGCCTCGTATTAGCAAAAGATGACCTACCATTACAATGCTAAAGTTAAGAAAATATCATTTCGCATAGGCGACCTTTTGTTAAAGAAAGTCTTCATTTCCCCTAAACAGATGGACATAGACACATTGGGCCCCACCCCAATTGGAAAGGTCCCTATCGTATCAAAGAAGAGCTACGACCCGGCACTTACAAGATTGAAGACCTAGATAAAAAGGCACAATCTTATCCATGTAACATTAAGGACGTAAAAAGGTATTATCAATGAGCAAGACTCATCTATTCAGCTAGATGATTTTTCCCAACCTATGTAAATACGCTTTTTCTTAATATAATGAATTTCAACACCAAGTGTCTTCAATTTGACATAATTCCTTTTATGGATGAACCATCTACCACAGGAAAAGCTATTGATATGGATGTGCAAACCCCATGCAAAGATGTCCACTTTGAAAGGACAAGTGCGAATTATCTCATAAGGGGACCACCTTGAACTCCTTCAAAGATAAAGTCACCCATGAATGAACTATCCACCATAGGAGAAGCCCTTGACATGAATGTATGATAAGTGTATTTTCCTTATCTGAGCCATTAAAGGAGACTAATTTTTATTAATTTTTGATGACTTATGAATTAAATAGGTATATGCTTTGTTTGTTAGGCACAACTTGACGAAAAATGATTGAATTGGACAAAAAGGGGACGAAAATGATCAAAATTGAGGAATTCAAAATTTGAGGACAAAAGTGCTAATATTTAATAGTCAATTCAGATTATAAACAATGATTGAAAATCACATAGGATCAATTGAATGCAAGGAAGTCGAATTAGTGAATTATAGTCAAAGTATTTTCATAAATCAATTTTCAGTCGCACAAGTTATGCTCAAGATTTTCAGCCTTAGATTGAGATTCATTCTTGGCATAACAAACTTTCGAATTGGAAGATTGATATTGCTAGAAAATTTGTATTCCTTTGAATTATCTTTTTAACTCACTTTGAATCACCTTAATATGATTTTGAAAGAGAAAACTATGATAAAAATACTAAAGGTTGTTTGCTTCCAAAAAATCAAGTGGCGACGTCGACATGCACATGCCAGGCAATTGAAAATGAACTCGAGCAAAATTAGATGCCAACACACATGCGGGGAAGAAGCCAAGGTGCATGCATCTGCTAATTTCGACTAGATCGGCAATTTTCCTTCTTCAATAAGAACTCTGCTTGGGTTCCAATTTGAACGCAATTTTAACCTAATTTTCGACTCTTAAAAGTACAAAACTTGGCGAAACATTGGAGGAACTCTCTCAAGCCTCTAATTACACAATCAAATCATATAATTCATGAAGAACAAGAAGCCAATTTTCTTTCTTTCTTTCTTTTTTCTTCTTCTTCTTCTTAATAGAAAAGATCAAATTCTATCAAGAATTGAAGGTTAATTATATCAAGAAATTGATAATCTTTCTATTTCATGTTCAATATTTTTGAATTGAAGGCCAATTATATCAAGAAATTGATAATCTTTCTATTTCATGTTCAATATTTTTGCATTATTTCAATATTGAATATAAATATTTTTCATTATTTTCATGATCCGAATGAAATTTTTCTATTCTTCTTCTTGTAAATTATATAAAATCATGTTAGGCAAGATCCATTCTTATATTAGATGAAGATGAATCTTATTATTTATTTATTTTAATTTAAGACGTGTAGTTTAATATTTCTTACGTTTCTTGATTAATTTGACATTTTCATTGTATTATTTAATTACTTGATCACCAAGTAAATAATTTGTTGTTTATTATAGTATCGAAATAATTTGTTGTTAATTATAGTATCGAAAAATTCACAATAAGCTTAGAACGTGACAAGATTAACCCACAACAATACATGTTAGAAATAATAATATCTCGTGTGCAATCATGTACATAATCAGAAATTTATTGAATTTTAATCATTCGAATTCTTACTAGAAATGTACTCGAGTCTTGATTGGAATAGAATTAATTCATCTTAAAAAGGAAAATTTAACACTTCAGCCTTGTCGATTGTTAAAAAAGCATGAATGAAACTGTATAACATAATTAAGAATTGAAATTGGTAGCATTAGACAGACTCTAAATCCAATACAATCATGCATATTTTGATACAAACCTATTTTTCAATCTTTCTTAGATTAAATTAGAATAACTACGAATCAAAAACTCTCTTGTTTACACAATTCAAAATCCATACAAAACTAGTGAACTTAAATTTATTCCTTGCCTATAGAGGCATTATATGTGTCATGTGACCTCTCGTGCCAGCTTAGTTTCACGGTACCAAGGAAATTTCATTTGCTACAGCAGTTTCATTTGCGGACTTCTTAGTAGTAGCCTGAAGAGCTTGTGTGCTTAAACCCGAATTGGGCAGAGACTCAGGTTCGCAACCCCCAAGTCTTTCTTTCTGGAGTACGACAAGGCAATCGTGGAGTTCCTCTTTTCTTGGATTTTCTCGAGTCCATAAGAGCTTTGTCAACTTGTTTTTCTGTCACACTTCCAGGAAACTTCTGCTCATTCAAGCTATCACTCCCAAGAAAGGAAACATCTATTTTATCACCTGTAACTCGAATTTGAGAATTGATATGTTCTAATCTCTTCTCAATGTCAGCCTTCCTTTCAACAACGTCATCTGCAATTTCATACATATTTTTGCACAATGTCTGCTTCAAGAGAATCAACAATGGCCTAATTTGACACATAGGTTAAAAAACACAAGTTGACACTGAACTCTTGGCAAAAATTCATGTTGGTCACTGACATTCATTTAGTTCCATGTTGGTTGATAACTTAATCTTTTTATTTCGAGTTGGTCGCGGAACTTAAATATTTAAAATAAAATAAGGTTTAGCAATGAATATGAAATTTCACTAAAAGATTTAGTCATCACTTGGGTATTTGATGAGTGATTTACACTCATTATATGATGCCATTAATTTCATGATTTTGCTATCTTGGAGAGTATTTTAGAAGTGCTAACAAGTGATTTTGGTGTTGTTTTGTAGACTGATGAAAATGGAGAAAACTAGAGCTAAAAGAGGTCAAATGAAGGAAATAGGCAAAAGCTAGCGAAATTGGATGAAATGACCAAAATGTAAGAGATCCAAAATTCGAGGATTAAAATACAATTAATCAAAAGTTGTGTCGAAACTTGAAATGAAGATCCGAGAGTTCTAGAAGCCAATTGGACAAAGGAAGGTGTCAAAGAGATCAAATTTAGTCAAGATATGATCATAAATCATTTTCCAACCAAAAAGTTTTGCGTCGGAGTTTTCGTCTCACATTTAGACTCATTTTTGACATAGAAAACGATCGAATTGGATAATGATTCCTGAAGCAAAATTTTAGTTTTTTGAATTAGCTTTCCAACGCATCTTGAATCACTTCAATCGGATATCGAACGAAAAAGTTATGATAAAAATACTGAAAGCTATCCAGTGCAACAGAAGTAGTCCTCAGCGCCCAGGCGCTATCCCTCAGCGCCTAGGCGCCATGATGCTGAAATTTTGACAGAAAGTCGGCGCCTAGGCGCCCAAATCGCAGCGCCTAGGTGCCGCCGTGTGAGAGTAATTTTTTTAGGTTTTTACCATTCTCTTTCGACCCAACTCATCTCCAAATCTTTCCCTAAACTCCAAGACAATATAAACACAGGATTGAAGACCTAAATGGGGAGGGAGCCGCACACTAAAATCTATGGGATCAAGCCACGCGTTCTTCACATATTAGAGAGAAAAACAACAAGAAGGGAGATTCAAAGGAGAAAATTAAGAAGATTAACACCAAGAATTGAAGATTGGAAGCACTCATTGGAAGAAGAAGGAGATCTTGGTGCAAGAATTTCACTTTTTCTTCTACACATTTATTTCAAACTCGGTGATGTATTCTAAGACAATCTCCCATTTTTCTTCCGTTATTATGAGTAGTTAAATTTCAATTTAGGGCGAACAATGTAATCTTTTGGAACCCTTTATTTCTTGCAATTGAGATTTTAGTGCTTTTATATTTCATGTGTTGATTTTAATGTTGTTCTTAATACATTTAATTACTTGATCACTAATTAGATGATTTGTGAACAATGATTGCATAGAGATGCGGGTTATTTGTTTAGACCACATGTTAAAATCCGGTAAATTGATATAATGTGTAGAGATACCTATATTGATTGATGCGATCATGTGTGAATTCTTAGAACCAATGTTTCGTTTAATTAAATTTAATTTGCATAGAGATATGAAATTAAACTAATTAAATAAGTTCAATGAAAACTCGAGAGGGGTAAGTTGAATACAATAGAAGAATTCGACCGAACACTACCTTAGGTTTTATGAATCTTGATTTATGAAGTAAAGGTGACTAATAGGTGAAATTGTTCCGCCCTAATGTCCATTTATTGTTTGAATTCTCAATCACTTTACGTTAAATCTAATCGCATTTTTAAGTTTTTAGAATAAAAATCACATTTAATCATTGTTTTTTATTTATATTCGTCAAATAGTAGTTAAAGAAAGATTAAATTAAGTGTTAGAAAATAATCCTTGTGGGATCGATAACCGGACTCTTAGGTCCACTATTACTTATTACGGATCGTACACTTGCGAAACAAAATTTTACAACAAGTTTTTGGCGCCATTGCCGGGGACTATTTCTTTTCGTCTTAATTTATTTTTTTATTTTGACTATTATTTGATTAGTTTATTTTTCTTTTATTTACAGAAATGTGTGTTCGTTGTATGCTTCGTGCCCAAGGCGACGATCTTGAACTATTTGATTCGGAGATAGGACGTACCTTCAGATGAAGACGCAAGGAACACAAACAAAAACAGCAACATCAAATGGCTGACAATCAACAAATCCATATCCCTACTCAGCCGATTGGGCAAATGGCCGCAAGAGTGGTGGCACCACCGGAACAATAACATGAACGAAGGGAAATAAATTAAGGGGATTTGCCAGTATCAATGTTCCTGACACCTATAGCAGCACCCATGCGCTCCAGTATCGTATATCCAGATTTTGGGGTGAATAACTTTCAGATCAGGCCAGATTGGATTAACTTGATGAGCAACACCTTGCAATTCTACGGGTTACCTCCAGAGAATCCAAACACGCATATTTCTAGATTTCTCAGAAACTGACAGAACTTTCAATCTCCGGGAGTCAATGACGATGCCATTAAACTACGACTATTCTCATTTACATTGAGAGATGCTGCATTGGAGTGGTTAGATGCTGAGCCTCACGCTAGCATTACTACATGGGAAGAACTAATCAGGAAGTTCTGTAATAAATTTTTCCCACCAGCGAGGGTAGCTAAAATCATATTGGAAATTCCAACTTTTCAACAAAAAGAAGGAGAAAGCTATCACAAGGCATGGAATAGATTTAATGAGCTGATGAGAAAATGTCCGAACCATGGAATCACTCAAGGAAACCAAGTCCAGAACTTCTACACCAGACTTGCACCATTGTCAAAATCTCAAGTTGATGCCTCTGCTGGTGGATCAATCATAGGGAAATCAGTGCAACAAACCATGGACCTGTTTGAGTTGATTGCCCCTACACATTCAATGTTCTCGTCGAAAAGAGTAGCGCCACCGAAGACAGGAGGAATGTATGAATTAGACAACACAACATATACCAATGCACAGATAGCAGCTTTAACAAAACAGGTAGAGTTACTTGTAAAATTGCAAACACATGGAGCAAATGCAATGATGGCCAGTTCAGTATGTGAGAATTGTGGGAGAAGTCACCCTACAGAGAGATGCATGATGCTCACGTCTTCAGAGGAACAAGTAAACTTTATTCAAAATAGCTCCCGTAATTTCAACTCATATGGTAACAATTTCCAGCAAGAGAGAAGAACAAGTTTGGGAGAGATGTTTCAACAATATGTGCAGAAGACAGACAAGGTGTTTCAACAAATAGACACGAACTTTCAAAATCAACAGGCATCCATCAAGAAACTGGAGATACAAATTGGTCAGATAGCAGAACAACTTGCAGAACGTCCACAAGGCACATTGCCAAGCAATACAATGATAAATCCTAAGGAACGGTTGATGGCAATTGAAATAGTGGAGAACGATCTACCCAGGGCCTCCGTAAAAGTTAAAGCATATGTACCTCCACTTTCGTTTCCCCAAAGACTTCGAAAGAAGTCGATAGAGCAAAATATTCATGTCATAAATACAAAGAGCGAGGTACAATCACCAGAGATCACTATAAAGAGACCCGAAAGAAAAGATGACCAAGAAGTGATTGATGAAGCTACAAGGGTAGAAAAATCTGCACCAAATGCAACTGAAAATAGAGAAGGTACGAAACATCAGTTGCCAACGCACCAAGTCTAGACAAAGCTTACATGCCTCCCATTCCCTTTCCTCAAACGCTCAAGAAGAACAAACAAGACACAAACTATGAAAAATTTCTCGATGTTCTCAAGAAGCTCCAGATCAATGTTCTGTTCATAGATGCGATACTACAAATTCCAAGCTATAAGAAATTTTTTAGAGAGATGTTGACAAAGAAAAGAAAGCTTCCAGAGTTTGAAACTGTGGCATTAACTGAGGAAAGTAGTGCAAGAGTCCAGAAAAAATTACCTCCTAAATTGAAGGATCCAGGGAGTTTTACTTTACCAGTTTCAATTGGAAATTCCTATTCAACTAATGCATTGTGTGACACTGGTGCTAGTATCAATCTAATGTCGTATTCTGCTTACAGGAAATTGGGACTAATTGAAGTCAACTCAACATCAATAACGCTACAACTCGCTGATAGAACAATCACAAGGCCACGTGGCAAAGTTGAGGATGTACTCGTCAAAGTAGGAAATTTAATATTTCCTGTGGATTTCATTGTATTGGACATACCAGAAGATCGAGACATTCCAATTATATTGGGTCGACCATTCTTAGCAACCGGATGAACTCTTATTGATATGGAGAAGGGAGAACTAATCTTGAGGGTGGAGGACGAGCAGGAGATATTCAATATTTACATCCAATATGAGAAACCTCCCAATAAAAATGATTGCTATAGAATTGATGAAAAAGAGCCACCTGATCAACGAAACTGTCAGAATAAAACAACAAATTTTGGAGAACTTCTTGGTAGAGACAAGAATAGACAAATCAAAATTTGGAGAGCAAAAAAGAATTGCATCAATGAAAATTGCACAGAGTCCAATGATGGAATAACTTGGTTTGAGCCACCATGATAAACCAGCGGCACAAGTCAAGCTAATGACTTAAAAGAAGCGCTTCTTGGGAGGCAACCCAAACTTTTATTTTATTTTATTTATTTTGTTTTCAAAGTTCTAAGATAGTTTAATTTATAGCTTATTTAGGAATCATCACCCATACACCTTCTACCCATAGGTCTTGGAGTAATTAAGTTGGTTATTAGATGTTTGAGCTAAGTAATCCTTGTTCCATGAGTTTAATTTTTCAAATTTAATTTTTTTAGAAACATGACGTCGCGGAACACTCAAACCAACATGGACATGGAGAAAATGGGACAAATCTCAAGTTTGGGGGAAAATGTAAAAGAAGAGTCCATCAAATGTAACACCAAGACACAACAACATCATAGGCAATACTGACATTTCAGGGAAGTCCTCCTCCTTTTCCTTTAAATTTCACATTGAAGACAATGTTTCAGTTAAGTTTGGGGGAGTGACATCATTTGCTTACATTGTTGAGTTTCTCGAATGCTTATGTGTGATTTGGTTGTTTTATGTGTTTGTGTTTTTATTCAAAAAAAAAAAAATCATTTCGTGTTTTTGCATGCTTGTGTGTGTTAGATAACCTTGCCAGTATTGATATGTGTAATTGAAAGCATGCGTTGATTTATGAATTGTGGACGAGTTATGTGTTTGAGTTAGATTTTTGCTTATTCATGTGAAACGAAAATTATTTTTTGCACGTGAGTTGATTGAAGCGTTGTGCATGAGTATGTTGATTTACGTTTATAGGTTGAAATAGAGAACTTAGATGCTAAACTCAAACAACCATTAAACATCACAATACCCTTAAATCACATTTAGGATGTTTGGATGATTGCACTGTTGTAGGAAAACTTGAAGATAAATGTGGATTTCGTGTGTGTTAATTTTTGTGTGCTGAGACTAATGGGATGAAAATTGGGTAAAAACCTTAAGTTAGAGGTCGATTTTCGAGGATAGTTGTTTAATAAGGGGCATTGCACTAATCACCGCATAATAAAAAAAAAAAAAAAAAAAGAGATCCCAATGAGGACAACTTTAATAATCTCATTGTGAATCGTCTCTTCGTAGCCTTTATGACTCGAGTGATTAAGCCTGTAAGGGTTTAAAACCTGGTGCTCTAAAGTTATCTGATTTGGGAGTCATCGGCCTAAAACTCGCTACAGGGGTCATTTAGATAGCTTAAGGGAGAGACGTCCGCAAAAAGGGTGATTAAAGAATAAAGATACATGTGAAGAAAAAAATTAATCAAAAAAAAAAAACAAAGAGAAAAAAAAATAGATATCAAATGCCTTGATTAAGCCCCGAGCACTTATTTTAGAAGATTAGACCTTTGATAAGGGGTAAGTATCTTGGTTGATTCCTAGAGGTTGAAGCAGTCAAAAATAAGGAGAATCCTCATTTGTTGACATGTGGAACTACAATCAGTAAAATCTAACCAAACTTGAGTGGTGTAAGAAATTAGTATTGAAGATTTAACCTGAGGTTACACCCTTGGAAAGAGAAAAGAAAAAAGTTTGGGGGTGTGTGAATCCCACGAGCAAAGTAAGGAAAAATTTGACTTCTAAAGTCGGGAATTGGGTCAACTTATTATTGTACAACATTGCACTTGACTCTCCACACACACACACCCGTTATGCATTGAATAGACGAGAATTTAACTTTTGCAATATAGTTTTGAAGTGGTTCATGGAATTGAAGTTATGTTTTTAATTCTCAGACATGAAGGCAAGCTATCTAGCGAAATTTATTTTAAGTGATTTTGTTTGTCTTGGTTGTACTTGTGTGTCCATTAATTATTTTTATGGGTCTTGGTGTTTTCTCGAGGACAAGCAAAAGATTAAGTTTGGGGGTGTTTGATGAGTGATTTACACTCATTATATGATGCCATTAATTTCATGATTTTGCTATCTTGGAGAGTATTTTAGAAGTGCTAACAAGTGATTTTGGTGTTGTTTTGTAGATTGATGGAAATGGAGAAAACTAGAGCTAAAAGAGGTCAAATGAAGGAAATAGGCAAAAACTAGCGAAATTGGATGAAATGACCAAAACGTAAGAGATCCAAAGTTCGAGGATTAAAATACAATTAATCAAAAGTTGTGTCGAAACTTGAAATGAAGATCCGAGAGTTCTAGAAGCCAATTAGACAAAGGAAGGTGTCAAAGAGATCAAATTTAGTCAAGATATGATCATAAATCATTTTCCAACCAAAAAGTTTTGCGCCGGAGTTTTCGTCTCACATTTAGACTCATTTTTGACATAGAAAACGATCGAATTAGATAATGATTCCTAAAGCAAAATTGTAGTCCTTTGAATTAACTTTCCAACGCATCTTGAATCACTTCAATCGGATATCGAACGAAAAAGTTATGATAAAAATACTGAAAGCTGTCCAGTGCAACCGAAGTAGTCCTCAGCGCCCAGGCGCTATCCCTCAGCGCCTAGGCGCCATGATGCTGAAATTTTGACAGAAAGTCGGCGCCTAGGCACCGCCGTGCGAGAGTAATTTTTTTAGATTTTTACCATTCTTTTTCGGCCCAACTCATCTCCAAATCTTTCCCTAAACTCCAAGACAATATAAACACAGGATTGAAGACCTAAATGGGAGGGGAGCTGCACACTAAAATCTATGGGATCAAGCCACGCGTTCTTGACATATTGGAGAGAAAAACAACAAGAAGGGAGATTCAAAGGAGAAAATTAAGAAGATTAACACCAAGAATTGAAGATTGGAAGCACTCATTGGAAGAAGAAGGAGATCTTGGTGCAAAAATTTCACTTTTTCTTCTACACCTTTATTTCAAACTCGGTGATGTATTCTAAGACAATCTCCTATTTTTCTTCCGTTATTATGAGTAGTTAAATTTCAATTTAGGGCGAACAATGTAATCTTTTGGAACCCTTTATTTCATGCAATTGAGATTTTAGTGCTTTTATATTTCATGTGTTGATTTTAATGTTGTTCTTAATACATTTAATTACTTGATCACTAATTAGATGATTTGTGAAAAATGATTGCGTAGAGATGCGGGTTATTTGTTTAGACCACATGTTAAAATCTGATAAATTGATATAATGTGTAGAGATACCTATATTGATTGTTGCGGTCATGTGTGAATTCTTAGAACCAATGTTTCGTTTAATTAAATTTAATTTGCATAGAGATATGGAATTAAACTAATTAAATACGCTCAATGAAAACTCGAGAGGGATAAGTTGAATACAATAGAAGAATTCGACCGAACACTACCTTAGGTTTTATGAATCTTGATTTATGAAGTAAAGGTGACCAATAGGTGAAATTGTTCCGCCCTAATGTCCATTTATTGTTTGAATTCTCAATCACTTTACGTTAAATCCAATCGCATTTTTAAGTTTTTAAAATAAAAATCACATTTAATCATTGTTTTTCATTTATATTCATCAAATAGTAGTTAAAGAAAGATTAAATTAAGTGCTAGAAAATAATCCTTGTGGGATCGATAACCGGACTCTTAGGTCCACTATTACTTATTACGGATCGTACACTTGCGAAACAAAATTTTACAACAGTATTTAACCATTTGAAACGACTATTACCTTGGTTTAAGCTCTCAGACACAGGTGTTGCTGAGCTGTTTCTATCACAGCTTTCTTTACCTACAAAATACAGGTAATATTTTAGAAAGAAGGAAAATAGTATGCGTATAATAGCCAATTCAATAAAATAATATATAGCATCTTTCGATTCCCAACCAAGCAAAAGCCGTCTACTGGTTTCAGGCTGATCTGATAGAGTCTCGTCAACTTGAGATAAAGGATAGGGACAAAAAAATGCACCATTAGAGAACTTGAATATTAAAATATGAAAATGGATATCACATAACGAAGCAGATGATGATTTAAGATTTAATATGGACACACAAGCAAATATATATTCTTCTTCGTACAAAGAGAAAATAACGCTTTAGCAAGGTTTTTTTGGAAAGTTTATTAAGAACAACTGTGAAGTATTTGAAGTATAATGTAAGGATTCAGCAAGCCATGATAAATTTTGCAAATATGATAGCCATCTACTTCATGAATGAAACAAACTAAAAAGGCACAAAATGCAGCAGAATATTAAGAATATCTATTCATTGTATCCAAACATCCTAGAATACTTTGTCAAAACCTAAGAGCTATGCACCAAAAACTTTGAAATTAATTTTCTCTATATCATCTATTTTTTCAAACTGTCCCAAGAATAACTTCCATTTAATATATTAACTGCATCTTCTATCATCAGATGCCAATCTCTCAACCCTTCAAATGTCATATGGTTCCTCTTTAGTACAGTTTTTGTCAGGCAGCTTGTTTTTGGTGCAGTAAAACATTTTGTCTTGTATTCAAACATAAACATTGACCTTGCATAAAGTTCCATAATTCAGCTAACCAAAATACAGCATCAATCCTTAGGATGAAGATTACACCTCGTTTTAATCATAAGCTGCATTCAAATCCAAATAAACTTGCTGAAGAGTAAACGATCAAACGTAACATGAAAAAAACTCAAGTTTAACTCAGCAAGGAAAATACGGATAAAAAGCACTGCCAAAAGAGTGAAAGCTTACTTTAATTTGTTTGGTTGTGTTTCCAGTGTGATTGACAGTTTCAAGATATTTAGTCACTGTTAGCTTTATAGAACTTCCTTCCTGTTGATGGCTCAGTATATACCTGCAATCATGACAAAGTACAATATCATCCGAACTCGGTCAGTCTTGTAAATCTAACTAAAAATGGACATAAATTTCCTTCGATTGGTGAAAAATATAGAGATACAGTAGATCCTATTCAGAATAGAAAAACTTCAATGTCAGAAATGATAGCTTGTCACTTATGGAACATGCCAATGGCTTTCAAAATTCCATATCTAGTGAATAACTAAGTCTGTTGCAAATAAACGTCTAAAATAAAAATATGTAAGCTGTTTAAAAAGATGCCTTTGTATGGCCATTATATCATAAAATCTGCAAACTTCATGGTACTTGTTTCAGAAATCATTAATATTTTTCATGCTGTGGAATTATTGCATGCTATGATGAAGTACCATATAAACTGCTTCATCTGTTTTCAATATCCTGGTTTGATTGGCACAATATCTTATGTTAATAATCGGCAATAACAAATTTCCAACTTTACCGTTTACCATCTCTATCACTCACCCCAATTCACTACTACTTAGCACCCACTACATAAACACCATCATGGACCACGATAATTACCCAATCCACCCACTGGAGAGACAATTTGTATAAATAAATCTGCCCTCTTTTCTAAGAGCTTAATCTTTTAGATGATTTAAATTTAAATTTCTGTTTCAAATATGTTAGAAATTAGAATATGTTAATTTTCTTATAAAAAAATAAAGTTACTTATATTGATAGTAAGATATGGGTTACATCCAAATTAAGTAACTTTTTTTCAACTTTCACCAACCAGAGTTGTATCAAAACTTCAGCCACTAATTCTAGATTTAAGTTCGGGATAGAGAACACCACCACCGTCACCCTCCCTCAGTCCCAAAACAACCAAAAAAATATCCACCATCAATCAATTCCAGGACAACCACCTCCAGTATCACTTGAGCACCACTTAGTCCTATATAACCTCCAAAAACCCCACGAGAGAAAATCGCCAACACATCCTTCTAGACCTGAATTATAGTGCCACTACCACTCCCAGGTTAAAACAATTAAATCCAATGAAATATAATATCCATACCAAAAGAATTCACTTAACAATATAAACTGACAAATACAACGATTTCCAGCAGCTTAATCACCTAAATGGAAAGAAAAAAGAAAGAATGAATTGCCACCAATCTTTGAGATGGAGGATGACAATGGGCAGTGGAGCTGGTGACAATGCTCATCCATAGTAGCACAAAATCCAATGTGGTTCCAAGGAGAAGAACTAATGTAATTGTATGATGGAACTATGTTGTTGGGGTCCGAGAACGACTGCGTAATTTTATAAGTGGACATTGTTTTGGGACATTCCCAAAGGGGAGATAAGGATATTCATTCCAAACGAAAGAAGAATTTGTTTGGCCACTCTTTCACCAGATATCAACTTTATATTAATGACTTTCAACAAGGAACTAAAAAGGGGATGTCATCGACCTTATTGGCCAACTGCCGGAAATAGAATAAGTCTTCAGTCCAACAAACAATCCATAGAACTTTCATACGTGAGCTGGCAGTATTGATCAGAGAAAATTTGTAGTATTTTCCTTCATGTTTTTGTACATAGCACACTAGCGAGCAATCCTGAATTAAATTCTAATATAATCCTCACAATTTGCATTGAAGTTAGGAAAATTATCTTAATTTATATAAAAAATAACAATAATAATAATAAATTATCTCTCGATCTTCTGGTTTGATTTTCTATTCTTCCCTTCTAGAAACGGTAATCAGCAAGCAAGCAGCTATTGCAACATCTTATAAAGTACAACACTAGCTTGCAAGCAAAGATGCAACTAGCAAGAAAGCCACAGGTATATTAAGGAAAATTACTACTTTTATGCATTACATACCATGTAAGTCTTCCCCATTAACGAACCACTCTTTCGAGTTCTTTCCTCTATTATCCACCCATGGGGTAACCATTCAGGAGAATCAGTTGTTTTAGGTTCAATCTGTAAACATCACTCTAATCATGTTAAGGACAAAAGGAGGATATAGTTGAGCACAATTATAAGATTGTTTACCATTCAGACTCACAGAAATAGTTTTGTCATCAGAGAGCTTATTGTCTTCGATACTTGTTGCTTGTGGTGTATCATAGCAGACATTTTCCCTTTCAGCACAACGAAGGACATCCCACTTGGAGTAATACCTCGTACCTGTTGCCAAGTTGCAGTAATACTGCAGGATCAGACATAACCAACATAACCAATATCACTTTCCCTTGAGCAAATATATTATATGAAAGAATAAGTTCTATAAAATACTGATATAAATATAGTGTGAAATTTCATACGATGTGCTGCAAAAGTCGCATAAAATGCACCTTCTAGTAACATATTTGTCCTCCACCATTCATGAAATTTTAAGTGGATGCAAAAGTCTGAATCTAAAACGTGCTGTGTCTAATGTTGTGGAATCAAGCTGCAAAAGAAAGAGAATAAGTTTTTGTTTTTGAAGATTCATCTATATATACGACAAAACAGATGGGCATTGATCGTCTCCCATGACAACTGCAAGGCCAAGAACCCTTGCCATATTTATAAGGCCCCACAGCTGTCCAGATCTTTTATTCTTATATGCACTATGCACACAGGATATTGAGATATGGGGCGCTACCATTCGGTAGTTTACTCTGATACATCAAATCGTTTCATAATTTTGAATGGAGTAAGCTTTAAAATCAGGGTTCTATGCATAGTACCAGGCAACTAACAAAAAAAACTGCCAGATTATCCTTATTTCTGTATCTAACTCCCTACACTAGAATAAATAGTAACTTTTATATCGACACAATCTTCCCGGCCCACAGCCCCTGACCATAAAACAAAAAACACGCACACACATATACACATGAAACCCATATTTTTTGTCCATTCAATCACAAGCATACATATACAACAATAATTTTTTATGCATTTAATGACAAGCATACAGAATACAACATGTAATGCCTCTTCCAGCCCAAGCATGGCTGCATGGCAGCCATACAGCAAGCGAACCTTGACCCACACTCCATGTCATTCTGCCCATGTGACAATTTGGCCGAATCCCCATGGAGAGACCGAACCCTTATGGAGATGCCGAACTCATGTACTAGGGCCGAACCCTCCTGGACGAGGTGAGGTAGGTAAGGACTCTGTAGAGGATCTTCTATGCAGAATCTTCAGTGCATGATTAACGTGGCAATTCATTGCAATAGCCACCCTATCAAGTCAAAAGGTCAATTCTAAAGCCCTATGAGTCGGGATTAGGGCGGCACATAGCGTTATAAAATTAAATGCATTTGATTGATTGACACTTATGATAAGAGGCCTTGGCCGTTTAGATGAGGCCATCTGTCTTTTCACCCAACGAATCTTCCGCATTTTCTTCTACTCTAAAAAATTCACACTTTGTGCCATTCACAGAAAATGCAAGTTTATGCTCTTGACATAGAATTTTGGCACTCTCAATCTTATATACTCTCCCAAAGCCAAACCACAAGTGGCTCACGTCTAAAACACGTCCTACGTTCAATTATTTATATTATATACTAACTTGATCATCGGACCTTTGGAGTAGGCCACATGTGGGTAACGGTTTGTACACTAAGAGCAGGTGCAAATGGACCTGAGTGGACGTGAGAGCCTTGGGATTTGTTGGCCACGTCACCCACAAAAAAGGAGGTTAACACAACACATACTAACACAAAGTTCAAAACTACTCTAGACGAAAAACCCTAAATAATTTTCACATTCATATAACAATTCCCAAAGCCCCGTATCCAAATGATTTTTTCCCATTTCTTTAAGTAATTACATAAGCAGATGTCAAAATCAAGACAAAGATTCTGTTTTTCACTCATTTTCTTCAAATGTAGCAATTATACCCGAGTCAATTAAACCATCACCCACAAGAAAACGATTAAAAGATTTAATTCCCCAAGTATAGATAAAAACAACTTCCTTTTTTGCATCTAAATATTAACCATTTCGGCTAAAACAAAACATTAATCAATTATTCCAAGAATTTCGATTACCTTGATTTTTCTTCCACAGCTATATTTTGTCTTCTTGGCAAAGCCCGGAAGAAGCCATTCCAGCGAATTCCCGTCAACCATTTGGCCTGAATCTAAATTCTTCCTATTATAATCTTGAAGTTTTTTTTTCCCCCTTTTGGGTCAGTCTGCTTTTCGAGAGCAGGCTCCGCAGTTTCTCTGTGGAGTGAGAACTGAGGTATTAAATAGAACATTCGGACAAAAGGCTGCATCATGGTACACGTGTCTTTACATATACACTACATTAACACGTATCGGGGGTAATACAAAAGCACCACTAGAGTTGCACAAAAAAAATCGCGAAACCAAATCGTTGATTTGAAACCACTTATTCGGGTCTACATCGACCCGAGATTTTTATTCCCTCAAATCAAATTAAATCGTTTCAAAAAAGTTTGGTTTAAATTTCGATTTTCAAAAATCGCACAAAATCGAACCTAACTATTTTTAATTTTTTTAATTAAAACATTAATTTCATTAATTTATAAATTTTACGGTTTTCACTTTTCAAAAAAAATATCAATTTAGCCATACAAATTACAACATATCCATTGAAATAATCATAAAAAGTAAATTAGGTTAATCATTATTAACCCATGATTTAACAAATTTACAACACACGTCCTCATCCGATATCTAAATTAAACTAAAATTATTCCCAAATCATTTGAAATGCAAAAAGAAAAAACATATATTTTCGGCAATCCAAATTATAATTCAACAAAATTACGTCAGCAAATTACGTCCAAAGTTTCAGAAACCCTGACATAAACTCTTATTTTCCAAACATTTGATGGTTTTTTATCACTGCTGAACAAATCGTCAGTCGCTTTTGCCTATTATTCTTCTAATTTTTACTTGAATCGCCTCTTTATCTCCCCTCTTGATAAGTCTCAGATTCTCATTAAAACTAGTTTTCCATTGTTATTTATTTTATTTGTTATTTTTAAACTTATTATACACTTATGAATTGTGATTTTGATGGAAAAATGACTCTTTTTGTGCTTACACGATTAATGAATTTGTTTGTAATTTGAAAAGAATAATGGACACAGTATTGATTGTGTGAAAATGTTAATGTTTCATAACTAGTATTGCTATTTTTTACTTTCATAAAGTAATTAGATAATGAAATCGTCAATTTCTAATAAGCCTAAACTCTATCAATCATTGTATATCTAAACTTATCATGTTCAATTCTTATTTAACATTCCACTAATAAGATGAAATGTGTTTTGACCAAACTATATTAGAATGTGACTCTACCTTTACCAATCGCTATGTAACAATATGAAGGTCAAACAAGAAAAAGTAAATGAAAATGAAGAAAAATGTATTTGTTTTATTAACATATTTTAGTAACCAACTTTGAAAATGTTTTATTCACGGGTTTCATTGTAAATATAAATGTAATTTAACATTATTAGTTCTCGTTTAAATTTATATATTAATTTATTTTAAATATATTTCTATAATGTCAACAGGTAAATCTAGGATTAAAATCGAGTCATACAGCAAATTATGGTTTGGTTTCATTTGGTTCAAAAAATAAAATGATTTGGTTTGGTTTGAAAAAAATTTAAACCGTATAAAATGGTTTGAGTAAAAAATATAGCACAAATCACTCAAATCGAACCGCGTTTACCCCTAGGCACCACCTTACTTCTCCTTCTTAAGAATAAGAGTAATGCTATCTTACAAAAGATAAAGTGAATTTCAATTGTTACAGAAATTGTTTGACAAAAAAAGTAAAGAGATGAAAAATAAGTTGTAAATTTTTGGACATCACTGCGGTGACAAAGCTCATGATGCGGTAGGAGATATAAAGTACTTCTTTATTAGGCAATTGTATTTGAATTAAGAGAAGAATAACGTTATCTAATATCAGTGTTATTGTACATCAATTAAGTATCAGCATATCATAAGTCATATTAAATAGACTATAATTCTTTGAATTTAATCAAATCAATAATTTAATATCACTATAGCTACCATATAAATTGGTGTTAAATATGAGTTTTAATAAATAGCATTTCTCAATAAGAGAAATGTTAGCCCGCGTTTGAGCCCTATTTTTTGGAGATAATAGATTTTGTAATGGTAATTTTTGGAAAAAATATTGTTAAAAAGTAAGAAATTTGAGTTTACGTGCAAAACTATTTTTTTGAAGAACATGTGATTGAAAATGAGTTTGAAAAAAAATAAAAATACATTTAATTTGCTGTTTTTAGTTGTCGATTTTGCAAAATGCTGAAAACAAGTTTGGTTGATATTTTTAAAAATGAATTTTCGAAAACAATGATAAATCTATAACATAAAATTAAGGAAAAATTGCAGCAAAAGCCCCAAACCTATGAAACATTAGCAGACTTTCCTCAAACCTTTGATTTGTTGCAGTCTTCATCCCTAACATTTCCGAACGTTGCAGATAAAGCCCTTTTGGACGGTTTCCATCCATAATCCCGTTAGTTGACAAAAAATTTAACTTTGACCGCATTTTTAATATTTTAAAAAGGAGTGAAAGAGTAAATTTTCATTTATCACATTAAATAAGAATTAAATAAAAAAACACAACCCTTTCTAGCTCTCTTCTTTTTCCTCCCAACGTAC